ATATATTTGACACTGCTGGTAATTTTAAACTCCTCTGCGGTCTAAATCGCAAAGTCTGATCTATTGGTCTCGCTGGGCTCAGATTTTTAGATTTTGTTTGCAGAATCCTACAGAGGTAAATGTCCTCACAGATATCAGAGAGTAACTTACTGCTTATGTGAAGAGCGGCTCTGTTGCCAAGGTTGTATCACATGCAAAATTAGATCTGCTTCATGTGTGTTGGTGTTATTACCACCATTTTGACATTCATACTGGTCAGGCACTCCAACTCTACCTTTGCTCTAGTGCTTTTTTACTGACCTTGGTGTGTGTGTGTGTGTGTGTGTGCGTGCACAGTGTTGGGAAGGTTACTTTGGAAATGTAATAGGTTACAGATTACAAGTTACCCTATTTAAAATGTAATAGTAGTGTAACTTTTTCAATTACTTTATTAAAGTAATGTAACTGATTACTTTTGATTACTTTTTGATTACTTTTCAAAATTTCTAATGAGGAAATTATGTCTCAGAGTAATCAGTGCAATTTGGGAAAGAAACAATTAAATCTGTATGTGGATGTCTGTCAATATTCAAATGTAATCCCCTTTGTAATCGTTAACATTTTCATAAGTAACTAATTTAATTACACATTTTTTCTTAGTAACTGTAACTGATTACAGTTACATTTATTTTGTAATTAAATTACGTAACGCCGTTACATGTAACTACTTACTCCCCAACACTGTGCGTGCATGCATGATAACACAAGCACACAGTGTCCTGGTGCTTGAAGGCTCTTTGCCATGTTCACTACTGTTCTAGACCACTTTATCTAATTTACCTAACAATAAGGTGCTCTGTACCTTCATGACTGTTTGAATCTACCTCTTTAAGCTATTGTGACTATGGGGCTTCAATTTTATTGTGATGCTGAGGCTGGAGAGACGTTGCAGTCTTGGATCTGTGCTTATAGAGTTTAATTTTGCAATAATGTCTAGTTTTCAAATTTAAAAGGAAAGTGATAGATTATGACAAAAATGTAACCCTTTAATAGCACTATCTCTTGAAGAGCACTTCCTCTTTAAGAATTGCTGTGCTCATGCAATGATAGTGTTTTGTCTGTTTAGTTTCTTTTCTTTTTTAAAACAAAGTAGTATAGTATATAAATAATTTGACTTACTTTAAATTAGGAACAGTGGATATAAATCAGTTCCAGTAGGTCTTAGGGATGTTATGTTATGTTATAAAAATGGGTGAAGTGAGAATCAAAACAGACATGCTGAAAAGGAGTGGAGGAGGCATTTTAAAACTAAACAATACGAAGCAGCTTCACTTTTTCTGTCCCATGCCGCCCATTATGTCTGACCCAGACAGTCTGAACTGACCAACTCCTCTGCAAAAACCAACCAGAAACGGTTCATTCTGACTGTAAATCGCAACATGTTGTTTTACATTATTTTCAAGACTGTAGCTGCATGTAGTGGTGCTGATGTTGTCTGTTCAGATTGAAGACAGGAATGTGTGTGTGTGTGTGTGTGTGGTTGCCCTGTCTGCAGCCAGGGTAGCTTTGTTTTTTTTGCCGATCATGCAGGATTTGAGCTCACTGCTTATCTAGGACCTGAAGAGACACTGAGACAAAGAGGCAGAGACCAGGGTATTATTGGGTCAGCTGTTTAAATACTCTTATTCTTTTATGAACAACAGCTGTACAGACATTAACATTTTGTTTTCAGATATAGTGTCATAACATTTTTATCAACTATGACCTTTTCTCTTCCCTTTCCTCACGTCATTCTTTCAGTCCAGTATCTCTGATGTTTTAATAACAGCTGTACCCTAGAGAATGTGTTATGTAACTTCACTGGGTGTGTGTTTGTGTGTCTGTAACTGTGTGTGTGAGGTAGCACAGAGTGTTTCCACTATACTGTGCGTACTGTACATGCAGTGTTCACAGAATTTCCCACACTGAAATATGGATGCTTACTATTTTAAAACAGAGAGGGCTTTTAAATCTCTATGCTTGAGATGAATTATACAGTGTGAGGATTTATAAAGATTCAGAGCTTGACACTTGACATACAGGTTGTTACCACTAGGGTTTTTCACACAGTGTTAGTAAGATTTAAAGAGACTGTAGAAAAAAAAAATCTCATAGACAGATTAGGTGGTGGGTACTGTTTGATTTGAGTTAAGAAGAAACCACCTAAAAACCACCCACAACACCTTGGCAAGTGCAAAGCAAGATACAAACAATTGTTTTAAATACCTGGCAGTGTAACAAAACTTGTGTTTAGTAAGTGCTCCACTGTGCACATCTAAAACAAATACCTCTAGAAACTGTCAGAAAAACAATTATAAACCTGTACATATAAACAATAAATGTTAACATTTAATGGAAAGTAACACTTAGCACCAGTTTTTTAAGGTGCAAACATAACTACACAATGGCAATTCATGACCTGTGTGTGTCCACAATGGGACTTCTTAGAGTTTGCATTCAGTCAAAATTAAGACGTTTTTGCCTAGCTTCTCACAACCTCCCACGAAAACCACCTTTATATTTGACTTAGTGAGAAAATGTTTATGTTCTGTGGTGACTAAAGCATGTGTGGTTTTTGTGTAATACTAAGGAGATACAAAAGATAAAGTAGGATCTGTTCAGATGAAGATAAACTTTCTAAATCGAGGTGAAGTGAAGATTGTGTTGACGTTATGAATAGTGTTAAGGTAATGTAAAGCCTAGAATTAAATGTTCCGATGTTTTATGGATTTTTTTTGCGTCCTGTGATACTGTTTTGTCGGTTGTATATGAATGTTTACATGTCGTGGATATTATGTGTGTGCATTGTCAATGCTTTAAGATAGCAATTGTTTAGCAGGTTAGCATTCCTTTATACTACTGTTCAAAAGTTTGAGGTCAGTACGTTTTTTTTTTTTTTGAAAGAAATTAATACTTTTATTCAGCAAGGGCACATTAAATTAATCAAACATGACAGTAAAGACATTTATAATGTTACAAAAGATTCTTATTTCAAATAAAATCTGTTTTAACTTTTATCAATGTATCCTGAAAAATATATCACACTTAATTATGCCCATTAAAATGTATTTTACAAGTTTTTGTTACTTTTGCTGTTCATTTTTTTGCTCAATGGTACATCATCTTTAATTTAATAGCATTAGAGCTGCTCCATTGCAGCGGCTTACTGTAATCATGCGCTTTGCGGCATCTTCGCCGCCGCGCGCTCAATCCACTCAGCGTGATTTGCTTAACAGCTCGCGCACATCGGCTATACAGTCAATACTGAATGTTTAACATTATATTCATTGCATACATATACTTCGTAGACATCTTTAATCTCTAATAACTCCATTCTGCTGTCTGTTGTCGGTGTTTCTTTGTCTGAATATGGTACTTATCACATGCTGTGTGGTATCGGCGTTTGGTATCGGGGCATTTTAACGAGTACGAGTACAGGAGCTCAGTACCGGGCCCGATACCGATACCAGTATCGGTATCGGTGCATCCTTACTAGCAACCCATGCTTTGGATAAACCTACAACATTTATGTTAGAAATTCAGATCTTATCCATTAGGACACAAGCACTCACATTATTTAATACAGATTTTCTTTGCGATTATATATATGTTAGTGGGTGTGTGTGGGTGTTATTTTCCCAGCTAGAATCCTCCAGGGAAGGAGTTGGAAAAACTCATTAACTCAGAGATAAGAGGGGAAAATCACGAAAAGACTGCCACACACATACAATGTCCTTTCTCTCTCAGTCTTTTTATTGTGTGTGTGAGGGGCAGAATTTGTTTACCGTAACCATTAACCTCTGAGCAAAGGCATTTTTTGCATGTGCTTTTAATCCATCATTTCATACAGCACAGACTGTAAGTGTCCGATGATACAAAAACACACTCACACACACAAGAAATGGAGGTTTCCCCAGTGGAGTAGGTTGAGCAAATGACTAGCTAATGAGCTTAGAGTTCATTATGAGCTGTGAATCTTATGCTAGAATATCGAAGCATACACACCATTTGCAAAAACGCACATATGTTCTTGAGTGTTTTGGTCACTAGATGAATACATGCAATTTATCTCCGTAATACACCAGCATAGCCTCCTCTTGTCAAACTCAGATGAGTTACTTTTGGAAAGTGAACCTTTCTTTCCAGATCTTCTTGCCAGCACGCACACATTGATGGTAGATATGGGGAGGAGTTTGTCCTGGGTTTAGTGAGAACTAAATATAGCCTCTCATTTAGAGGAATTCCCCATGTGAGCGTGTCTCCGAGATAACCCTCTCCTATTCTTAATTAAAGTGTGTGTGTTTATGTGTGAGTGAGATAAAATGTATTGAAATTTTGCTGTGTGTCCTCTTATGTCAAGTGCAGTGTCCCCGAATCAAACTGAGGCTGACGAAAGAAGACACATTCACGAGGCACACACTCACACACACACGTTGTGTTTTCTCCCAAATCCTGCTCTCTTTCTCATATACGCATGAGAAGAGAAAACTTATACTGAGTGAGAGACTGAAAGATCAGGACGGAAAGTGGGCGGAAACCTGTGTCAGAATAATAGCCATTATTTAGTGTCCTGTTCCGTATCCGTTGATGAGAGACGAGCTGTTTTTGGCTGGATCTTCAGCTGGAACGCTGGGATATCTGCTGAGAGATGGACTGCCAATGTTTTAGGTGTTCTGTGCAACTTTGATCCTCTGTCACATTGCGATCGTAGTTTCCCTGTAGGATGTCGACTGGTAGACTAAAGCTGATGTTTTCCTGGATATGTGTGTGTGTGTTTGTGGAGACAAATGGCACTGAGTAAAGATGGAGTTGGTATGAATTTTTTCAATTTCTTTGCAATTCAATGATTTAATGAGCTGAATGCTGTAAATATGTTTGCTTTGTTCATATTTGATCCGGTTTTGACGTAAGTTGTCCTGGATTTGACCTTTGACCTTGTCATTGGAATAATCAACTCCTGTATTTTCTCTTATTACTTGCAGCCGGACAGCAATGCCAGTTACCTGCGGGCAGCGAGGGCAGGGAACCTTGAGAAGGTCCTCGACTACCTGAAGACTGGTGTCGAAATCAACATCTGTAATCAGGTACAGATAATTTCTGTTAGCATGTGACAGGATGTAACAATATCATTATCATTACTGAGAATGATGGAAGTAAATTGTCACATTTACAGTGTGATTTTTATGCTGTTAATGCTGCTTAATGCTGTTTTTTAACAAATAACTTTCTATTCAAATATTCCTGAAGATAAATTGTTAAGCAGCTCAAGTATTTTCAACATTAATAATAATAAGAAATGGTTCTTGAACACAACATTTTTTCAGATTTCTGAAGGATCATGTAACACTGAAGACTGGAGTTATCGTAATAATATTTCAAAATCTTAATATTTTTACTGCATTTTTAATCAAACAAAATGCAGCCTCTGTAAGCCTAAGAAACTTATTTCAAAAGCATTTAAAAAAAATTACTGACTTCAAATTTTTGAACAGTTTTGTATATAATGATTTAATGATGTGTTGTTGATATAAAGGATTTGAAAGCTGAAAACTTTGATTATTAGAAAAGATGTACCGTGTTGGAATCAGAGGATTCTTTCTGAGGATTCTTTCTTTCAGTCTTTCTGAATCCCTCACAACGTTTTGCTACAGGACAACGTCACAGTTGTGCCATATCTCATGATGTTCTGTGAGGTGTAACAGAAACGTCAAACGCTTGCAGTTTTATTTAAAAAATAAATCAATCAATAAAAAATAATCTTTAATGAGTACTTTCATTGCAATTTAATTTTTAATTTAATTTTAATAATAATTTAAAGGGATCGTTTAATATTCTGTTTTCAAATATTTACAAAAAAAATAATCTAATTTTGTTAAAAAACAAAATTTGATTAAATTCTTTTTAAGCAGTGATTTGCGACAGTGCCTACATATGATATGTGTGTATATATTTCCATTCTGGTCCAGGCTGGTTTATACTGGACTGCTCCTGTCTGGCAGACAACCACATCCATACCGTCCACTAGCAGAACTTTGTGTTTTTTTTGTGTTTCAGAATGGGTTGAATGCATTGCACTTGGCGTCCAAAGAGGGGCATGTGGATGTGGTGGCCGAGCTGCTCAAACTGGGCGCCAACGTAGATTCAGCAACCAAGGTCAGTTTGACGCACACGGCCCGGATTGGCTAATCGGGAGCACCGGGAGGATTCCCGGTGGGCCGGTCTGTTTTTTTGGTCGTGAGGGCCGCTGTGTTGTCATGCCACTGGGGTTGAAATATGGATGCTGTCCACTGATCTATAATAGATATTATATATAGATCAGTGATGCTGTCCCTAGACTGCCTGCATTCATAGCAGCCCCACTCTTTTTATTTATAATTTTCTCGCAGCCCATATTATTATTTTCACCAGACCATATCAATAACAAATTCTCAATTGATAATTAATCATTCTTTTTGCGCAAATCATTGTTTTATTTGTGAAGTAGCCGTTTGAGGAAGGCTTTAAGACTTTCAACTTCAAGACTTAAAGCTTTTAATCCTCTGCCGGCTGCTCCCGCTTCACAGCGAGCGGGTCCAAGTAGATATAACTGCAGACCGGAGATCTCCAAAATGGGGCGTGAACTCCAAAAGTGGGCAGAACCTCCAAAATGGGGCGGGGTCTCCTCGCGCAAAGACTTTCACCATTGGCTCTGGCTCCAGCCAATTGTTATTGACTTACATTTCAAAATAAAATTGTATAAATTAAACATAGCCCAACATTCAATCTACCTGAGGGAAGATGTCTTTCATTGTAATGCAGTTAAATAGAGAAAGAGAAAAAAATACATTAAAAAAAATTAACTTCTAGCGTATTCTTGGACCTCATTATAGAAGTAGGCTACAAATCCAAGCACCAGAAGCAGCCCACACTCTCTTAGTTTTCTTTAATTGAAAAATATGCATTTTCATTCATTCAAAGGCTATATGGTTGCAATGACATTTTAGTTCAAAACTTTAAATGCCATTGTTTAAAATGCTTTATTGACTGACGTTTCATAGACCTTCAGTTGTTACGCTTTCAAATTTCATGCCATTTGTAATTTCACACTATTTTCACCTCCTAACTTACTACAATTGTGAAGTCACAATTCTATATTGGTACAATTTACTCGGGCCGATGACATTTTTTGTATGACATTAAAATTATTTTTAGAATAATTGCACATAAGCAAAACAATTGTGATTATTTCTGAGAACTATTTGACTGCAGGCAGACATACATTATGGTACAGTACAAATATTTGGAGCGTCCCTTATTCTGTCCCTTATTTTTATACTATGGTTGCCACCAGGCCCGGATTGGCTAATCGGGAGCACTGGGAGTACTCCCGGTCTGTTTTTTTGACCGCGAGGGCCGGTGTTGTCATGCCACTGGGTTGAAATACGGATGTTGTTCTAAACTGCCTGCACGCACAGCAGCCCCACTCTTTTTATTTATTATTTTTCCGCAGCCTCATTTTTTAATTCGTTATTTTACCGCAGCCCCAGTCTTTTTATTTATTATTTTCTCGCAGCGCCACTCGCAGTTTAGTGCAGCCTGCAGGTTAATGATGACGTAATTATCTTTCGACTCCCGACCTCGACGGCACCTTGCTCAAAAAAAAAAAAAAACTCAGTTGTTGGAGATATGCGAGCAAACAAATAATAGATGAAAATGGATAATAGAAAGCGCAAAGGCGGCACTTAAAAAGGCCAGTAAAAAAATAAAAATAAAAAGAAGTGGGCCGGTCTAAGGCATGAAACTCCAGGGCTGAACATGAGTCCCACTCCAGCCCTGCACACAGACACACACACTCTGAGCCTCCAGCTCGAGGAGACGTTTGTATCTGTGTTTGATATCACATGGTGTTCTCTGCTCCTGTGAGCATGTTCACACTGGGTATAAAAAGCCTCTAGTGCTGCATTCACTCAACAGGAACACTCTGTGTGTGTGGAGGTAAATTACAGGCCAGCGGAAACAACACCTCTCTGGCAGAGGGGATGGAATGGTGGTTGGGGGGACGCCAGTGGAACAAAAGTGTCCATTAGATGGGGGTGATACAAACAGGTGGTGGAAAGATTAATCGAGAGATGCCACTCATTCTCTCTCACTGTTGTTTCTCCATCTTTCCAGAAAGGAAACACGGCGCTGCACATCGCCTCACTGGCGGGACAGACGGAAGTGGTGAGAGAGCTAGTGACCAATGGGGCCAACGTCAATGCACAGAGCCAGGTACACACTTGAGACTCTGCATTCCTGCAAGACAGCTCACGTACACTCTTAATCTGTTTCTATTTTAGATGACCAG